GACGGGTCCGGGCCCGGCCCGGCCTTTGGGCACAAAATCTAGGCCCGGGGAGCGTCGGGCCGGGCCGGGTTGAGCTTTTTCAGGCCAGGTCAGGCCTGGCTATCCGGGCTGGGCCGCCCATGGCCAGGACTACTCTAGTCATATGTCTGCATCAAGTAATTTCCTATCTTCTTGCACTCCTTCTCCGTTTCCTTCCAATACTCTTGGTGATGGTTCATCTATTCTCATATACTATGTTGGTCAGGCTCAACTTCCCTCTCCCACTAAACCACTTCTTCTTCGAGATTTTCTTGTTGCACAAGCTCTTATTAAAAACCTAATTTATGTTCGCCAATTTACTCGCGACAATCTAGTTTCTATTGAGTTTGATCCTTTTGGTTCATCTGTGAAAGATTACCAGACCAAGGCCGAGATCGCTCGCTTTAATAGCTCCGGTGAACTCTACTCTCTTCATGGTGTCCCTGCCACCGCTCCTCCTACAACCATGGTGGCCTCCGTCGGCCTTTGGCATCCTCGTTTGGGTCATACCAGTCCTGCTGTTTTAGCATCTATGCTTAGTAAATTTTTCATACCATGTAATCCCGATTACCACAATTCTTCGTTTTACGAGTCTTCTCAGTTAGGCAAACATGTGCGTCTTCCCTTTAGCTCCTCTAGCTCTTCTAGTACCTATCCTTTTGAATTGATACATTGTGATTTGAGACTACATACGGATGTATACAGACATATTTTAGAGTGTAGATTCACTCATTTTGCTTTGTATGTCGTCCATGTGAAATATCTAAGAAAGACTTATATTTAGCAATGGAGGGGGTATCAACTTACATTGCAAGTGGAGTGGGCTTTGATTATTAGCTGATTATGCCCGTGCTATCTGTTCTCTTCATGTGAAATTTATCATGCATTATGTTTATATAACTCTAAAAATTTATTTCAAAAGCCCGTGGCAACGCACGGACACTCTAATCGTTTATTTTAGCTTTTGTTATTTCTTGTATGTATAACTGGTATCTCGAAAGGAAACATAGAAATGGTAACTGAGGGAGTCCCGGACTAGGGGGTGTCCGGATAGCCGAACTATCATGGTCGGCCGGACTCCAAGATGAAGATACAAGATTGAAGACCTCGTCCCGCGTCCAGATGGGACTTTCCTTGGCGTGGAAGGCAAGCTTGGCGATACAGATATGTAGATCTCCTACCATTGTAACCGACTTTGTGTAACCCTAGCCCTCTCCGATGTCTATATAAACCGGATGGCTTTAGTTTATAGGACGAATAACAATCATACCATAGGCTAGCTTCTAGGGTTTAGCCTCCTTGATCTCGTGGTAGATCCACTCTTGTAACACACATCATCAATATTAATCAAGCAGGACGTAGGGTTTTACTGCCTAGACGCACAGTTCGGGACCCCCTACCCGAGATCCGCCGGTTTTGACACCGACAGTAACTAATTGCTCAATATATTTACAGCAGAGCTTGCAAATAAGTGGGGTCAACTGGCAGTTGATGGCAAGGTATTGGTAGTACACCATGCAACGAATAAAATCAATGCCATGACTCACGAGACAGAAAAATTAATATCTTTCTTCCTTGTATTTGGTGACAAGCATGTGACTGATCACGTGATGCATCAAACGTATTTGAAACAAAATTACCTTCCTGCTTGCAAGTGGAAGTTTTGTGCCAGTGCACACTGTCTCAGATGGCTGTCGATGCGTCGGTGTGGCCATTTGATTCTATTAGAGCCTGCATCGGTATTGATAATATTAAATATTTTCGTCGTGGTTATATTAGTTCGAGAAAACGTCTCAGGCTGTGTACGACCATTGTATAATGGAGAACCCAAGCACTATACTCGTCTTGCTCACTACACTAGCTTGTGTTTCCTAGTGCTGCGCATGTGGTTCTTCTGAGCATTCCGATGGCGGCCCTTCTTACGCATGCGCTAACATTGTAAATGCAAAAGAAGCCTAATTGCATATCGCAGGTTTTTATGCAGCTAGCCAGTTTGTCACCGACAGCGTCAGTAATTAAACGCTGTTGTTTGGAGTAATTAAGTCTCTCTAAAACAGACTTACTAAATTAATTGATCCTCTGAACTCAGTGACTTTGATGATGTGTTGCTCTTATCTAGTACCCAGTATCCACATGATGCATTTGCTAAGGGCTGATGCCTCTGGACGCAGTAAGCACACACATAGCCAAGACATAAGCACTCTATAAATAGACATGTGATTCCTTTTGTTCCTCTCCACAGCCAAAAAGCAAGATACATCCCAAGCACCTAGCTATTTCTTGCCCTCTCCTCTGCACACACTCATGGCCGCTGTTATCTTGTCCAACACCCGGGTTATGCCCACCAGTTATAACAAGACCATCATGAGCAACTTGTCCTTGCACCGTATCGGCAATGGGGCCGACACAAATCAAGCCACTGTGATCCAAAAGGATTACAAGTTTGGTCATACTGCTGTTAATGACTGGGTAATTTACGAAGGTGCAGGCCCAGGCCCGGTGTTCGCCCGTGGACAAGGCAGCCACATTCTTGCCGGAAACTCCATATCTACCATCATGACAACGTTCGAGGATCCAAGGTACAATGTTTTTAACTTTTTATGGCTTCGTTAATTAGGATATTTAATAAATTATATATCCGTTCAACACATTCTAGATTGTTAATCTACATTATCAAACGGAATTATTTCTGTTTCTCATTTTCATTTTCCACATGCACATAGGTACAAGGGCTCCAGCCTTGCTGTTATGGGCAACATCTTGGATAATGGTCAGTGGGCTATTGTTGGAGGGACTGGGTTATTTAAGTATGCAACTGGGTTCATTGACTTGGTTCCTGTTCAACAGTCGAGCCCCAAGAACATTTCAAACATCACCATCGAAGTATGCAATCCAAACTATTGATGCAAATAAGGTCAAAGACGAACGTCATAACTATGTTTCATCCATAATAAAGCAGACACTGGTTGTTCACATTTCCATGTACCAGCAATGACCCTTTTTAATGGTGGTGTTTCAGTATGTTCCCTTGTATTTTCTCTATTCTGGGTGAGTTTTTGTCTTGTACTAGATCCTTTTCAGGGTGGTACTTCCCATTTCCATGTATTACTATGTTTTGCGACAAATCAATAAAGTTCATTTGGTGGCAACCAAACAAACTAATATATTGATAGTATGTTACGGACCATCATGTTTCTACTATGGGCTAGGGCGATCTACATCAGGTCATTGTCTAGGTACTTATGTGATCCAGAGGACGAGCCAAATAATTGTCTTATATAAACCATTATCCATGTTGTGTTAATAGTCTTAACTGCATAAACTACTACAATAAATACATATGATTTCAGGCCTAGCAGGCACACAACCCGCATTCAAGCATTTCTTGAGGTGTACAAGAAAATTGAAGACTGGGTCTCCCATGATGAGCTATGTGAGGATCTCCTTGAGCATCGAGATAGATGCGTTTACGTTTCTTTCAATTTCATTTATTTTTATTTTGAAATTTTGTTTCATTGAATTTTTAGTTGTATTTTAATTATTTGTTATACTTGGATTAATGTTTTTAATAATATTTGCTAAATTATTCAACTGTTTCATCTAAATTGAAGTATAGACTAGAAAAAAGAAAACATAAAAGAATGGAACACGTGTTACAGTGATTCTTTGTTTCCATGAAGCCTAAAAAAATTATGGAGCATGCTCCATACACATTATGGAGGCTAGGAATATGGCCCACCGCATGCCAGTCATCATTTCTTTTCGACATGCAACTGGTAACCATTTTGTTAATTGTGTAACTCAGTAGCATTGTCAGGCCTACAACCGCACATGGTGACACAAGAGACCTGGGGGCAGGGCAGAGCCA